CCCAATGGGGGACTCTGGGCGGTTTACAACAAATTAAAACAAATAAATACATAATTAAAATGTATAAAAAAGAAATACACATTTACACAAAATGGAAGGAAGAGAAAAAATCCAAGAGGCCGATGGAAGCAACGCCAGGACTCTAGGGGGCTAGCCAACCCCATTTCTATACAATGATGGATTAGTATTTATTTGATTTTTTGTTTTCATTTTGTCATTAGATTTATATTTAACCTTTCTGCTAGGAGTTCAAGGTGATATACTCCTCCTCCAACTGGTTTCCCAAGATCACCACTCGGTCAGTTAGATTGGGCTGAAAGATACTCCTGGGTCCAAGTCACCCAATGAGCTTCCATAACTGAGGATGGACGTGAATTCTGTTCTCCTCAGTCCGGAATCCAACCAGCAGCATTTGCAGCAAACCTAACTGCGATGAGTCCAATATGCTAACATGCCCACAATGATATCATCACCCAACTGCTGCCCTTACACACGTGTGTCCCAATGGCTGATGCAAGTATGGAAGTTGCAACATTTGTGTCTTGATGCAATCACACAGTGTCATTACTCTCTCCAAGACACCCATGAGTCTGGCTCCTTAACCACAGCACCCCAGTACAAAACTTTCTGGGATGCTGGGAGGAAGAGGCTGGCATATTTTGCACTGGCATACTACGCAGCTGGAAAGAAACAGACCAAAAAGAAAACGGTTTGATAAATGTAAGAGGCCCAGCTGACCTTGCACTTCTTTTCCTGAATAAGGGATTCCACACTGTTCTTCAAATGAGCATCTTTAGCAGATGCATCAGTAAAGACAAAGATCTCAGAATAGGGTGGTGAGTTCTGGAGAGCAAGCTAAGTAAAGAAAAAGATAACCAAGATTCATATACATCCACCAAGCACAGAATTTGTTTCTTTAGCTCCCATGGCATACAACATTTTTTGAAAAAAACATATTTGACGTTGGTGGGAGGAGAGAAAAGAGGATGACCAGCAGCAAGGTAGATGGACTTGATTTCAGTGGTGATGGGTCCATCACTGGGGAGATCTGAAGGGCAGGCTGGGGACAGATCCTTCTGGAGAAAGTCTATCTATGTGGTTGCTCACAGTCAACATCAACCTGATGGTGCACAACCAATCATCAACCCATCATTATGAAATTCATGATCCCTACTAAGAACAGCTATTGAAAAAGCTGTTTCAACTGCTTAAAAAAAAAAACAGAGAATAGATTGCACCAGAAGTGTATTATGAAAATGGTGCATTCATCCAGTTAGGACTTTCATAGTGCACCTGGTCAAAACAGCTTAAAAAGTCCATCATCGGAAATCCATAAATCAAGCACAAATCAAATACACTGATGGTTTTCCAGTCTTTCTATGGGCTTTCTAAATAGAGTTTGCATGGATCAGAGTTTGTGAGCTTTTGATCTATAAAATTATGCAACAATAAAGAGTGTTTCATGAATGCTACCTCCAGTGCAGAAAGACACATTTCAGGCTCATCTCCACCACCCAGAGGGCTGATGGTGTTTAAGACTTTCCAGAATTCTTCAGGGTCGCTGGTCTTACTGACAGGGCCAAAACCTAGAAGGATGTAAGAGAGAGGAGGGAGAGGGAGGGGGAGAGAGTGAGTGAGTGAGTGTAATGGCCAATTCATACAGACATCTGGTATTATTTCTTCATATTTCAGTGTGTGAAGCATTGATTGAATACCCTTTGCAGAAAAACTCACCTACAACTACATTATAATCTATCCAGCACTAGGTGAAAACCCTTTGTATTTTCCAAGACATTTTAGAAAACCATTTTAGAATTCCTATTAGATATTGTCCTGATGTTTTATTATGATTTATGTTATTATAGCAATTATTATTATTATTATTATTATTGGTGTTACTCTGTTTTTATTTTTGATAGTGGTTTGCTTTATATTGTATATTTTGAATAGATTCGCACATCACCCAGGGAATTGTGGTCACTTCATCAGAACTGGAAAAGTAGTAAACAAATAAAGCAACTTAATTGAAAGGCTTCAAAGGCTCTATGAGGAAGGTTTAAATAAAAAACTGATATGTAATCACCAATTCTTCAGTGACAGTGTTTCTGGTCTGAAGAAAGTCCCCAAATATCAGTGATGAGGATGAAAAAAAAAGGTTACTTCATATTGGAATTAAAAAAAATAGTTCCTCTATGAATGATTAAAACTCCAGAATAATAGGGGGAAAAATCAAGACTAACCATGATATGGAGATTACTCCACACTGTTATTCATGGACATTGAGTCCTGGAAGGTTCAAACCCTGAACTCAAAACTAAACTCTTCATTTAAGGAGGCTCCTGTCATACTCCCTGAGATCACTTTTTGTCTGGCTCACCAGTTACAAAACTTCTGTAAATTCAGAATGACCTTTTTTAATACGGCTACCCAAATTTGGCCATGAAGCTGAAGGAAAGAGGTGGAACGTATGGTCAAATGTCCTGATACTGGAAAACTCCCATTATAGCAGGACTGATACAACAGTTCCCTTATCTATAAATCAGCTGCTCGTCTCTCAAATCTGCTTTTTCACAATTGCTTCTCCTTACAGCTTCAGCCTTGTCCACCTGAGGATGTCAGATATTAAACTCAGCCTCTGATGCTTCTTATCTGGAAATTAGAGTCTTGCAAGAAAAATATATATTTTGTCACATGAGCTTTTTAGATCTTTGGGAGAGACCCCTCTTTCTGTTCTGCCAACATCCATCCAAAGGTTGTTGGCCAGAGATCCCACAAGGGCTCCCAAATCCTTGCAAGGAAGAAGTCTCATCTCTAACGTCCATCTTCTGGCAGGCAAAGATGATTTTACTCAGCAATGTCTTTGGTTAAATAATCAGAAGTTCTGTCATTCTTGTACATAAGTTGCAGTTTGCTATTTTTATTGATGTGTCCCATTTTATGCTTTATTTTGTATTCTGCACTTTTAACTTTGTATTCTGCTAGTGTGAAGCACGGGACAAAGTTAACAAGCAAGCAATATAAAAATGAAATTCTACTGAAAAAGAGCCTCTCTCGTTAATCTTACCGGGATCATGGAAAGGCACCAAGAGGTAAAAATCTGGTTGTTGAGGGGTGCCATGGCGCTGTTCAATGATCTCCCGTGCCTGAAACTTAGCAGCACTGATCTCTTCTCCCATACTTCCAGTGGTATCCACAACGAAGCTGAGGCCTGTGGTTGGACTGATATCTAGCAACCTTCAAACAAAACAGTGGGAACTATGATTTAATAATTATTCTTTAGGACAGATTCATACATGATGCTAAGGCATAATGTGGTTTATTTGGGTTTGGCTTAGCATGTTATGCAAACCTAGGCATTCTGGTCTATAAAACAGGGGTTATGGCTTACCAGGCTATTGAAAGACAATCAATTGTGCTTTATTCAACAAAAGGTGGCTTAGTGTAATGAAGCAGTATGGGTCTCTGGAAAGGTACAGGGGAAGGCCTCCAAATTAATAAGCTATCTGTAGCTTCAGCCAATTAAAGATTAATTGAAGTTAAAAATACCCTAAAAGATTGTCAGATTTTAATCCTGTTGTATAACAAGCTGGTGTAGTGGTTTAAGGTACTAGTCCTGCCTTAGGCATGAAGCCATCTGGGTGACTTTGGGCCAGTCATTCTTTCTCAGCCTTAGAGAGAAATTACTGGCAAGCCACTTCTGAGAAGGTTACCAAGAAAACTGCAGGAACTTCTTTCTGTAGTCATCAGGAGTCAGAGCTGACTTGATGGATCATAACAACAATCTTGTGACCATCTCTGTTCAAAGTATTTTAAAGTTCTATCTTCCAGACACTCCTATTTTATAGAAATTTAATCCATTCTGAATGCTAGATTTGCAGGAAACCTTCAGAATGAGGTGTAGGTAGCGACAAACTGGTATGATCAAATTTTGCCCAAAGTTTGGATCCAGACCTAGAAGGAACTTCTTGAACATCAGCAAGTAAAAACAGGTCATAGAACAAATCCCAATCTTTGAGCATTAAAAAAAACCGCTGAGTCATAAAGTGCTTTAGTCATAAACTTCATAACTTTCTTTACACTAACCTTTGTGTAATCTGCTTCATCCAGCTTTAGTCCTGTCCTATTTCCTAGTCAAGCCCCAACTCCCTTGTGAGGTTGCCAATTGGCCACTAAATTAAAAAGAGCCCAGCTCTTAATAGGATTAATATTGTCACCTGTTAATTGCTGCAGGTCAGATTCAGTACTCTAGCAAGCTCCTTCAATGCTATAGAAGGTTCTGAAACATGCTAAAGATTCAGGGAGGGGCACCTGTCAGAGTGTTATGGAATAGCACCCTTGAGTAAGAGTGTGAAAGATCAAATTTAGCTGGGAGGGGAAAAATAAATGCTTAGTTATGGTGAAGGGCAGGGTTGGAAAGATGATAAACTGGCATCAACGGATAGATCACTGGGTCAGAGTTGATCCATAAATAATCCAGTGATAACTCTCTGCCTGCACTATTTAACTTGGTCCAAGTGAAGGTTAAAACCAGGGTGGGGCAACCTTTGAAACTGAAGATTGTCCTTAATATTGTATGAGAGTACAAAAGTCGCAGTGAATGGTATAATTATTTAAAGTGGGTGCCACTTTTTCCCCCTCCTTTTTTCAGGGTAATTATAGGAATTTCTATGTCTTTTAAGCTACATTAAATCTGGTTTTATACATGGCTGGGAATGAGACTAGGAGTGACTGGGCCAGAGACCCAAGAATGAATGAGAATTATAACTGCTGGGTGGGAATCTGTGTAGAAAAGGATCTGTTGCTTCAAACAGAACAATTAAATATAAGTTTATTCATATATACTCATGGTGAAGGAATGAATTGAAAGGCAAAATTGATTTGACTATTTATGATGAAAGACTGAAAGAATTAGTGAAGGATAGAAAGGTGATGTCTGGTTCTGAACATGGGACAGTCCATTTGTGGTAGTGTCGTGAGCGGATCTTAGGAAAAAATAGACATGGATGTGTGATGTCCTCTTGGTGGTTTATATATTTATGGATAAATGTCTCAGGGATACTTGAGACATTAAAGTGTGTTGGTCAGGGACATAAATGTGTGTGTATTGGTATATACAGACAATGCTATCGTGTTGGTTGTTACCTCAGTTGATTTACAGCAACTATTAAATTGTATAATGCAAGGAGCTGTAGGGATCTGAAAATTAATATACTGAAGATCAAGACAGGTTTGTTTGACAGTTAAATGGAATTAATAGGGACGTTTTTCAGATGCACAGATGCTTCAGTACATGGCCTAACACGAGGAAAGAATGATTGTCAATAGAACTGAAAATGTGGGAAAATAATGTTTATTTAAAGAAGGCTAGAAAAAGGACATTTCTGCTTGCTTTGTGATGCGTAAGTGAAAACTGAGGATGACAGGAAAAAGTCATTTGAATATGATGGGAAAGGGGTACTTAAGAAATGTGCACATTGAAACAAGAAGAGAAAGGGTCAAGAATGAGCGAGTAACGAAAGAATGTGGATTAATACAAAAGCGAGTGACAATATGAAAGAAGTCTATGGATATGGTTTAGCCATGTAGAGAAAACAAATGAGAATTAAAACGCAGAAGAAATAAGCAACAGAAAAGTGAATGGGTTGAGAGGAAGAAAATTGAGAGACATGGCTGAAAGGAGCTAGTGAGATCCTCAGAAAAGAAAGAGATGAGAAGTTTAAAGAGCAAAAGGATAAAAAAGCAATGTATGAATCAGTGTTCAGACATAGTAGTTAGTTGGCAAAGATAGAAAGGTATGAACAGGTATGGCGAATGAGATTAGTGGAAACTAGTTTTAACTATGCTTTCTTTTCTTCTCCTCATTTCACACCTTTAATTTCTTTGGCTCACAATTTTGCTGTTTACATAATGTTGCTTACCACAAAAGAGATAGGTGTGTTCTCTTAATGTATTTATGACATTTATAATCTGCCCCAATTGGACCAATCTGGGCAGCCTACATGAGCAGTTGATGTAAAATGGCCCTTAACTGTGCCACTAACTTCAGAACTAACAATCAGAGGAAATTCTGAGACTTCAGAAAAACGGCCCTGGGTGGCCCTGGGGCTGCCTATGGCCAATCCCCATTTAGAACATCTCCACAGGTGGAAACCACAAAAACCTCAGTATCTTAAAGAACAAACCACATTACCTCATGAACTGCTTGTTTCCTATTTCTCGCCACATCTTCTCCAGGAAGTGTATGGAGGCCTCCTGAGCCAGAACCGCTGCCTTCTGGTGCAGATAATGGTGGGGTGAGAAGAACAAGGAGGCGCTGTCCTTATTGATGCCACCTCGAGGCTCCCGATGGCGGCTGTCATCGAACCTCCCGCCATGGCTGCACTTCCCTGAAGAGACAAGAATGTGATGGGACGTATCTACGAGGAGGAGGGTGATGTGGGAGAGCGAGGCTATCAGGAGGGAGGGGGTGCACGCCAGGAGGGGGGAGGAAGCAAAGGACAACACAGTCCTCAAAGGGAGTGTGGGAAGCGAAAGAGGTTCAGGATAGCCACTGCGTAGAATCTCCCAGGGTATATCCACTAGTTGCATTAGTATAAATTTAGTCTGGCAAGATTCTGTCTATATGATGTAACCAAATAAAGGAACCTGACTTGACTGGACTGTTTCACTGTTGTTCTTGGGCTGGGCCTGACAAAGGAGGAGGAAATACACTTCAGCCCAGCATCTTCACCTGTAAAGGTGGAGAAGGGTGGGATAATACCACTCCTGTAGAAAAATCTGCTTTGACATTTAAATAGACAGGTCAATATAATAAAGAGATGGGAGTGTCCCTTTACGGATGAGAGGAGCAATTAATAGATGTATAGCTCTTTCTTTCTTAGATTGCAACAATCTGAGTATAATTGGGTGATGGCATAACTGAATGTTGCATGCACCTTCACACACCCTTTTCCCAGCCATGCTTATTTTTTTTTATACAGAAATTTTATTGATTTGTTTTTTCCAAGCACGAGAAGACGGACATATTCAACCCTCACTTGTATTTCAGAGGTTTGGAGTCAAGAAGCATCTATCAGTTACTTTGATCACATTTGTCCTCTGATCCTTCTCAAGAAAATAAGCTACTTCTAGCATGCTTTGTGATTTCTAGGTTCATGTCTTCAAGAGCTAAACTGGAGAAAATGTTAATGTATCAATGGAAATAAAGCTCCTTCAGAGCTCAACTCTTGGGGACTGTAGCCATATTGTTGTCCTGGAAGCATTAACAGAAGAGGTTGCTTCCTTCCAGGATGTTTTTCAACTTCCCAGTCCTGCCAACTGTCCTGATGTTCCCAAGTACCATCCAAGAACCACCACAAGTAGATCCTGCTTAGCTTTTAAGATCAGTCAAGGACATTAACTGCTGCCACCTGTTGACACCTGTTGCGAAGAGAGGACTCTTTGGAGAAGACCCTGATGCTGGGAAAGATGGAAGGCAAAAGGAG